AGATCTCCGTGATGCCCCAGAAGCAAAGATAGACCGATCTACCCCTAAGACAAGCGACAAGACAAGTAGGTGGAGCTACGACGACAACGTCAGGACAAGTACCGGAGGATACGGAAGGTCGCCGAGGGATCCCGTAGCGGCAATGTGTGGAAGATCCAGTCGCTGAACGGAATGAGACCCACACAGTTTAGCGGAAAGCGTTCTGAGTTCCACTTTTTTCAACGAATGTGAAAGAGAAGTAAGCGTGGCAACTAACTTGAGAAAGATCGTCAAACGTCTACCTTACGACATGATAACGAAGTGGCAGCAAGAAAACTACCGAATAATTGAATAAGGCCGAACTGCACGTCTCAGTGATGTTGCTACTTTCGTGAAGGAACACGCCTTGATAAAGAACGATCCCGTCTTTTGTCTGCCAAGACAAAACCCAAAGGACAACAGGCTGGCTGCCCGACAGGACAAGATTCAAATGTCAAGGAAACCGTCGACTCTTACAACAACATCTATAAAACCAGATGACAACCAGGCCTCAACCGGATGTGACATTTGTAAGGGAAACGCTCACAAACTTATCCAATTTCCAATAATACTAAAGTGCGACAAGACGCCTGTATGAAGGCAATACGCTGCTTCATATGGATTTTGCTTCAACTGTGGTTTACAGCGACCTGGCTGCCCTGCGTCACCTTCTTGCAAGCGTTGCTCGGGACGCCACTTGGACATCCTACATGAGGATCGTAAAACCCCAAGCAATAAACCTGACCGTGCGGCCACGAACTCTGTTGGAATGTCTACGGAGAAGTCACCTGTTCGTACGGCAAATGAAACCACCCCTGCCAGAAAGGAACTGAAGAACGATGTGAAGAAGGCGGACGCGAGTAACTCCTCCCCCTCTTTCGACTATAATTGAGCGTCCACCAAAAACCACGTATGTGCTGTTAAACGTAGTTCAAGTCTTAGTTACGTCAGAGCCTGGTTATTCTACGTCTACCTATGCCTTTATGGACAACGGCTGTACTGATTCCCTGACTGATTGTTCTTTAGCAAGATCTTGTGGCCATTGCGGTATGTAATGGTTAACCCTGTTACTTTAGAAGCAGGCGGTTTGAAAGGTTTTTCGGAAGTATGTAGCTGGAAACAGACTTTGCTTTATCCATTGAAAAACAGGACAACTGAATTATGTCACTGCTTCTCTCCAGCCCAGTAGTCTCCAGATCGAGAACAAAGACAGCTGTATCATGTTCTTTTATAGCTTGGACATTCACCTTTCCTGTAGATGTGCTACGTTGTGTCTGAATGCCTGCAATCTTGACAGTTTCTACGTAATCTTCCTCGGTGATATTCTCAGCGAGATCCTTTATCATAGCATGACTAACTTGAGGGAATGATATAGATATTCCGACAGCGCTTTCATACCAGCCTTTCTTCTGTTTTTTCTTTTCTTTTTAGCGCAATTTCGTCTTCTTCAGATCCGTCCTTCGTCGCTTAAATTTCTTAGTGGACTTACGTTGCCTGTCCGCTTGCCTTTTTTCTCACCAGTAGTGATGTATGATTGCATTGACTTTCTTTCCTCTAGATTCAGCGACTGTGCTACATTTTCTAGATGAAATAAGCCGTCGTTGAACTGTGATACTGAAGCACCAAATCTATAGTTTTGGCTTTCGGAACTGCCATAATGACGACTTTTGGGAGCTTTACTGCCAACCACATTGTTAAAATCTTCGTTTGCTTGTAAGCTTGCAAGATGTGCCAGCTTTTTGGTTACCTCAGTGGAAGTGAAGCACCAACTTCTCTTCGTTATCATTACAGAGAAAGTCTAGGTGAACTTATGATTGGCTATTTCTTCCAAGAACTATTAGTCAGTAGCTCTTTGATACCAGTAAATTGGTCTGAAATATTTTTAAGTATTTCATAAGTTCTGTTAAAACAGATGGGCAAGTTTTGCGAGTAACTGTCATAAATATACCGAGACAGCATTCCAGCGTGCAGATGGTGTCTGCTGTGTCTGTAAAATCGAAGAAACAACTCTAGAACTCTGAATCCACTTATTTATTTAGACAACAACATGGCGTAGAACTACACGAGGTTCAATCTCTAACATACTACTGCGCATGCGCTCAGGTTACATAATGATTAATATTCATAAGACAACAACTGCCCTCCCTCGGGGGAAAAAGGTAACGTTAACATAACTGTTTATATACTGATGATGGCTAGTAAACACTAGCGTGGACTGCGTCGGTGTTTCTAAT